CTACTACTACTACTACTACTACTACTACTACTACTACTACTACTACTACTACTACTACTACTACTATCACCATCACTACCACCTTGCATTGAGACCAGGGTCGTTTGGGGGGAGCTATTTCTAAGGAAGGGAGTTGACTGTTCCAGATCCGACATTACGAAAGACCCCTGAAGGTCTGTTTGACATCCATTGGGGGTCTTCAGTTTGCTGTTCCTGTTGTCCACACTGTGTGAGGTTAGTGACAGGCCCCAGATCGACGTGTCTCTACCTTTGCCCTGAGAAGAATTCATTTCGCACTCCCTGAATCTCATCTCTTCCCAGACTTGGCTTCACCTATAGAGTAGGGAAATCAATAAGAGACCAAACCTTCACAAACACAATGAACTCCAAAGCCTCAACCCTCAAACAGCCTCCCCTTCTCTCCAAAACCTCGTCATGCGGCCGCGCGTTTGCGTGAAACATGCCGCTGAGCGGCTTACAGTGAGTCCCCCAGAGCGTGCCACGGCCTTGCCGCAACCAGGCTGAGGACACCTGAGGGCGGATTCGAGAGGAACTCCCAGCTTCAAGGTCTAAGGGAGCCAATCAATGGATCCTCGGATGTTTTCGATCACATCATGTTGTAAAGCTTGAATATACTCGGCCTTAACATCGTTTCGGCAGGGCTCTAAGGGAATCCTACAATTCAACAAAATCCCCCTAATCGCCAAATCGGTTGGATTAACCATCCCTCGAATGAATTGCTTAATTTGGGCAGAAGACTCAGTCAAACGCCATGTAAAAACACCACCGACGACTCACTCAGGCTATACCGACCCTAATGAGTCACTAGCAAACGGATGACCTGATGGCCAGTGTCTCAGTGGAGGACCATGCAGTACCTGAGGGCCATGAAGGCCCACGAATAAAAGGTATATAGACAACTTTCGAACATCCTTGGAGCGATTCACTTCAAGATTGTTTTGGGGTCGATGACGGATGATGAAACGTGACCTTTGATAGGGAGAAAGCGAAGGAGTTGAATCGGGAGAAAGCATTACTGTAATCAAAAATCTCGAGTGGGGCATCACACACAAGAGAACTCCGCAGGTGGTAGAGACAACAAGAAACCAATACACTCCCTAGAATGGCCACTTGGATGCTCATTTTCCTCTACAAACAAGTGGTTTTCTGATTCCAGGAGTGTATATACAAAGCGTTCAACCTTGATCTTCTTTTCAGTCAACTTCTGCACCCATTCAACTTCTGGCCTGTTCTACGAGTGTTTCCAGTCGACTTCTGACTCCTAGAACAAAAGAAGAGGTTCTTAAGTGCTGCTTCTCCACCCACAACCTTCCCCTCACCGGCTTTTCGTACACTGCTCACCCACAACCTTCCAAGACACCATGCGATGTGCCCCGGTCGTGCAGCGACGTCTAAGGCCGCAGAGATTTTCACGAACTTCTCTCGTGCCACCGGGCCTCAGGGGGCCGTGACGCGGGACCCGTTTTTCTTCGTGATTTTTTTGCGTTTCATGGTGCAGTCTGGAGGACGCCATTAGTGGGTGGGGCCCTCAAAAAGGGATTCAGTCATCTATTTTTTGTATTTAAATGTATGTGTAGAAATTTGTTAGATCGTTTATGTTGTTTGTAAGATTTGTAAGACAGGCTCCCAAATGGGAATTCTGTTGAAACTGTTGCTTTTGCTGCTTCTTTCTTCACATCGTTGGCTTGGAAGTTGATCCTTGTCATCCACAGAGTGCGACATCCATGACGAGGATTCCACCGCCTTCTGACTGATGATGAGCTGTAGGAGCCCAAAGCATCCATAGCACTGGAATAGCTAACTTCATACATATACCCCATCCATGTAATTGTAAATAGGGTACACCATGTACTATAGGGTAAAATGTATGATAAGCCATGTAACATATGACATCTTCACATTCCCTACGCCTCCAAGTACCTTCTGAGAAGGTGTTTGGGATGGGTTTGGAGGGTCTAAATACCTTCTGAGGAGGTACGACTGGAGGTGTAGGGATATGATACATAATGGTACCTCTTCCTGCGTCCACAGCCGGCCAGCCTCCAAACCCACGCTCCAAGGTGCCCAGAAGCGCCGCCACCGCGGTGTCGTCCAGTGGCAGCCGACACGTGGGCTCCGGACACACCATGCCGCTGACCTGCGGAGGGAGGTCGCGTGAGCCTGTGAGGTGGAAGAGCCTCAGGTGTATAACTTCGATACACATTGTCCCTGGTAGTCCATGGTAGTCTCCAACAAGTCCATCAGTGAGGAATTGATAGGAATCAATGACTGCATGATAGAAATACATCTGGTCATAGTGCATCATTGGGGACCGGATCATGTCTGATTCGCTAGAAGTCAAGGGTGGTCAAGAAGCCTATTTACGGCCATGGACCATGGTTGTCCAAAGGGGTGTGAGTGTGACATGAGTTTCTGACCATTGACAGATTGAGCCTCAATGGATGGGTCAGCTCACCTTCCCAAACGCTCCGTTCAAAGCCCTCTAAGGCCCTTCAAAAACAAATTTAAGGGTCCGGACCCCTCCATATGAGGGTCCTGCCCCTACTTAGCAGGGTCCATGAGCGTCTGGGTTATTTTCACAGACAATCACCGGTGAAGACCCCCCAAGTCTCGCTGCAAAGCAACTACCGCAGGTGGTGTAGGTTCCAAAGGTTGCCCAAGCCCTAAGCCTAAGCCCTCAGCCCAGGTGCATTCCCACTGTCCAACAAGCCCTGCAAGTAGTGTCGAAGGCAAGCATCACAGAAGGGATGGATCCCCCTGCAAGGTAGCCTTGGCTGGCAAGCGAAGGCAAGTCGCGCCTCCCACGGGGGTTGATCCTCTCGATGTCAGCTCGGTTGACGTGCACAAAACGTCAACCGAAGTAGAAAGGAGCAGAGGCAAAGAGTTTCCACTCCAAAACTATCTTAATTACTGCTGATTTGTAGAGAATAAGGGATTGATCTCCAAAGTCTTGCTGCATCGGATTGATCTCCAAAGTCTTGCTGGTGCTTAGAGAATAAGGGAAGAACCCCATTACCACAGCATAGGACATTCCTTGCGCAGTCCGTGACCCATCTTTCCAACTTCACACGACCGGAGTGGTGCCAGTACCGTTCAGAGAGCCGTTCCGGGAAGCGTTCGGAGAGTCATTCTTCTTTGTTTCTCTCTTTCGACTTGCCATGAAAAGAACCATTATTTCTGGAAGCTCTGAGAGGAAATCTGGCACTTGCTGGTGCGATCTGGTGTGTAATTCATGAAAAACCAATTATCCTGGCCATTGAGATAAGATATGGAAATTAAATTACATGAATAACAAAGGAAGCAGTGCTGTAAGTTCTCAGAGCTGACGAAAGCCACCAAGCAGCCACTTCTGCAGCTCACCACTGGGCTCGAAGCAAATGCCTTGGAAGAGTTTCCTACGTCTTTCGCGCGCTTGGCTGGCATTGGAGCATTGCATTGCTGTGGCATGAAGTTGTCGGAGCTTTACTGGTTTCATGATATGTATACATACATATAATATATATATATATAGTGAAATGCTATGATACGATGTACCAATGGACAGAATCACTGCAACATGTCTTCTTACCTTCACCTTGCTTACAGGTGCAGATACCCAAGCTAGGGGTTGGGAACATTGAGTATCACAGGTTGTATCCCCATGTCCACCACCTGTCTCGGGATACTGTCCAGAAGCAATAGAAAAGTGACTGTTCTCAAATGGATGGACCACATGTTCTCTTTCTATTGCGTTACTGTTTCTACATCCAAGTGTCCCAACACAGTTTATGAGAACATGCTTCACTTACATACAAGGTTTGGACGACAGCCAACCTAGAGTGTGTGCTTAAATCCGTTCCTTGAAGGCAAGCTGGGCTCTCAATCATCGCACCCCTTTGCACCCTGAACAATCCTTGAACGTCAACTGGTTAGACGAGAAACATCCAACACCAAAGCCAAAGACCTCCTATGTCACACATGTATGCATGCATGCATCACACTACATGAAATTGCAATCACATTAACATACATTCATGTACATGTACATTTACATTCACATGTTATTGCATTCCACCTTGTCCATGGGAAGTGTTTTGATGAAGCATACACAGGCCCTTTCACGCGCCCAACTCACAAGTCTTGGCAGAGAGGCACCAAAATCACTTGTACCCTACTCCTCGAAAGGTATTTAGACCCAAGCCCATCCCAGTCCAACCTTCTCAGAAGGTACTTGGAGGCGTAGGGGTAAGCTTTGCGGCGCAGCAGTCTTCCAGGATGGTTCACAACGAGCCGAAAAAGGGTGAACGCCGCCACAGTGGCACACGGCCCGGCCAGGTCACACATAACCAGCACTTGCGGAGCCACACCAAGCCCGCAAACCAAAGCTAAGCTTCCAAAGCAAAGCTATGTCGCACATGTCTGCAGGGAAGCTTATCCTGATGAGACTCCAACGAAACAAACAACCAACTAATAGCAACCGAAAACATGGACACAATAAGGCAGATGGAAGTGATTGCTGAGGGACCAAGGAACCAAAGGATGACCGAGCTGCACGGGAGCAAGAGGATGACGACTTGGCATGGTTTTTGGACAACTCTCAGCACTGCATGATCACTGCATGATATCACTGCATGATACGTATTTGTACAGTACGTGAGTATTCAATTTCTCACCTCCGGTGCAGTTCGAGTGGCCACTCCCGCCCCAGTTGCCCCAATTCATTGCCCAAGTGGCCACACACTCCACCGTCTTCTCGCCTCGCTTCGCCCGCGAGGCTCGGAACGCCGTTGGAGCGGAGCACGGCCTGAGGATCTCGATGGAACCTCGGTGTGACGAAAACAGGACGAGGTCTGAGGTACTAGTAGTAGCTTCCAAGCTACTACTAGTCCCATAGACTCCATGGGACTGCCATATATGCCGATCAGTTGGGGTGGTGCCAGGGGGTCAATGTAGGCATATATGGCATACATGGAGTCTATGGGAGTAACATCTAGTAACAAGGGCATCACTACTAATAGGAGCTCATTTCCCTACTAGGACGGCCAAAAGGCAGACAACACAAGGTGCCAAAGATCTGATTTTGGGCAGCAAAAGACCGGGAAAGGTCCAAAGGATTCTTCAGAGGTTGAGAATGTTGAGAGACTTGCACTATAGACACCTGGACAGGCTGTAAGAGGTACATCTACGATGGGCGAAAAAGGGCGCTTCAACCATTCTTGGCCACACCCAAATCTGTTGTGCCAAGCTGTGGGCGCGATCTGTCCCGACCTTTGTCCAGGACACCAAATGTTTTGACATGGTGTATAATCCCCATTGGTCAAGGGGGTTCTGATCGTAGCGCCTGATGACTGAACACTTTTTTGTATGTACAGTATATATACCCGCAGGACAAATAGAAAAGATATGGGCACATGGACAAGTCAAAGCCTATGGCATGCTGTCTGTGGCAGCATTGGCGAATTTCTTCAAAGGAATTGTCCACTTAGACTTGTCGAGGGGCTTCCACCATCACTCAACAATGCTCTGAGTTGATTGAGACAAGCATTCCAAACTCGAGGAAACATATCGCCAGCATAGAAACAGTTCCCAGATATGCTCCCAAGTGCTCCAAGAAAAGTGACACCTTGGCTCACTACTTGACGACTTGCCTAAAAGCCACAATGTGAACCCCTTGTCTTTGTAGAAACAGATTCAGATATACTCAGATTCTGGGTCCATAGCTGGTACATGTTGGTACTCCATCTAGCTGAATTGCCACTCCCTCCGTGGCTCTCCCTTGGCTCTCCATGGCTCTCCTGTGCCAAAGCACTCAGCAATGGCCAGCTCTGCCCGGCCGAAGTGGCGCAAGATTTTGGCGCAAACAGGCAACGGGAGGCGAGTGGCCATCTGCAGCTGAAAGACTTCCTGGCGTCAAATGGCATGTAGCAGCTGAGCAGGCAGATTGAGTCCGGTTGTGGTCTGCTCCAATGTCCTATCTCCTGTGGATACTGGACTGTGAACATGTAATGAAACTGAGGATATGACAATAAACTTGGGGCTCCAGCCATACCTTTGTTTCAGTTTGGTGAGACTGGACTGGGTGACGAAGTCGGATCAGTCATTACTTTCTGGCAATTGTTTTGCAACATAGTAAGTGATTCGGATAAAATGCCATCTATGTTTTGTGAAGGGGGTATACCAATGCTTGCTGCCTAAGCGTCAATGAAGAGTGATGGATAAGCAGTTTGTGAAAGACCTGGTGATCATAATCCAATTCTCATCCACAATTGTGGTTCAGAAAGGAGTCAGGGAAAGGGAATAAGTTTCAATGGATTTCGTATGTTCGTTCATCCTTCTTCGCAGAAAAAAAAGCAACTCTGGAACGTGCCAATGCCTGGTACTCTTTTAAACTGGTCAGACCTTTCCTATCGCTTGCACCAGGAGCCCCTAGTAGCTTCTTGTTCCTAGTAGAAAGGCCGGGAGCCCTTAATCCCTTAGTAGCTTCCTGTTCCTATCTCATCGCTTGCACCAACTATTCGTGGAGTCATCCGACCAGTCGTCCGACTCCATTCACTCGGACTCCGACTGGTTGCTACAATGAGCGGCTTCACGACTGGTTGGAGGTTTTGTGGTGTCGAAAGAGATGACTTGTCATTGCACCTCCAAAAAAAGTGCGATAAAATATGCAGTTGCTTCTTGCTGACTTATTGTTTCAATGAGAAATCGACTGACGGCATCCTAAACATCCGCCTCCAGAACCGACTCAGCCGCGTGGCGTGCGGTGACTGAGCACCGAGCGATACCGAGCGATACCGAGCTCCGAGTGGAGTCGTTTGAAATAAAGGTTTGAAAGAACTCACTCGGTGGACATTCGTTTGTGCGACCCTCTCAAGAACTTTGGACTCCTTGGATGGTTACAAGATAGCCCTTGGAGACGAACAATGACATTGACATGATCTTTGTTGGTTGTTGTTTGTTGTCAGTCGTTTTTTTTTTTCCAGCCACCTTGTTTGGATGAGAATGTTTCCTCTCCATCACTATCAAAAGATGGACCTTTGAACTCAACCATTAGTATTTGTTGTCCATCAGGTTTATATTCCCTACACCTCCAGTCGTACCTTCGTTTCGTTTCTGTGGGACTGGGGTAGGTTGTCCAGTCCGTAGGGTCCAAATAGCGAGGTGCTTGGAGCTGTAGGGATTCGGATGGTCGATGTTTTGTCCGAAGGAGGGACCTCCACTTCAATCACAGGAGCCCGCACGGCACGGCACGTCGGCCGCCTTCTGCGTATGGTTCCGAATCTCTTCGGGGTTTTCCAGCACAATGCCGTCCTTGCGGGACTTCCGAGCCGGGGGCAGAAGTCGGCGGAAGTCGGTTTGACCCTCAACACAACTGCCGATTTGACCAGCAATTGTTCGGCCACAATGACGAACAAAAACCAAGGTCGTGAAACTTCAAGCGACATGTGATGGTGGAACTCGGAGCTTATATATAGATGGTTTGCTGTACATGTTAACTACCTCCCGATCGTGTCGGTTGGGAAGATTACTTGACACTTAAACCCAGGTATGTCACCAAGCACCAAGCGGTGTTGGTGGAAAAGAAGCGAATGCACGCGTGACTGTGGATGACCGTGGAAAATCACCAGACACATCCTGCACTGACCGAGTGCAACGCTGCAAAAAAGACGCAGAAGTGTTTACTGTGCGTTTGCAGATCCGGCTCCACAGGAGTCCGTTTTGTGATCTGATCATCGGTATGAAATGGGGCTGAACATTTGTGAGCAGTCTTCAGTCTAGCTGGTGCAAAAATGGGTCCAACTGCAAATGGGTCCGTCAAAGTTAAGAGTTCCGCACGGTCAGCGAAGGTCCAAAAAAAAGGACAGTCGACCTAACGAATATAGCTACCGGGGGAGTCAGATGAACGCATGCACAATGTGAACCGAAAGAAGCGGGACATGACCATCTGTCAAAGGGTAGTGTCCAGAATCACGAACACGAAACAAAAGACATGTGGAGTTCCGCTTTGTTTAAGTGTTCTTTCTCAGAAACTATACAGTTTTTAATATTCAACAAACAAAGGGGTTCCCACCAAATCAAGCATATTTTATGCTTAAAATACCAGCTTCAGAACTCATCGTCAGGATCTCGATGGGCCCCCAACGCTGCAAAAACTCTTAATTCGCTCAACTGTGTTTTATAATATAGGTGGTGACCTGTTGGAGGGTGCTGGTATAAATACTATACACATAAACTTGAGAACCTCTCCCCCGGTGGAATGGAAAAACACCTCCGCCCATTTTGGGTGCGTTTCGCTTTTGGTCCCCGTCTCCTGAGCCTTCTCGGAGCCGTGCCAGCTTTGCACCGCCCGGTGGAGCCAGGGCGGTTGACCCCCAAGCAGAATCCGCTCCAGGACCATCTTCTCTGCCTCACCCCGCCGAATGAACGATCGCTCGCACCGACTGGAACGAAGAGCGACGTTTAGGGCGCCTGAGGCCCCTGGTGCGGTGCTTGTTGGGGTTCCCAGTCAGAAGGTCTAGCTTAAAGAGCCAACACAGGTCAAGACTCCGGACTGGCAGAATCTGGGGAAGCCTGGGTGAATGAATGTGGGTAAATATATATCTACCCATTGTACACGTGTTTCACTGTTCAGAACTGGCTTCAATGCGATATTCAGCATGTTCACCTGTAGTTTTTGTTTCAGCAGTGCCTGTGGTGCACGTAAAATCATGTCACCACTGTCTGGTCCTGACTGCATGGAGACTCAATGGTTGGTTGCCATCAAGTCTTATTGGATCCAGGTGAATTGTTGAGTGGTTTCCTGATTTGCACAATTCACTGGATTGTGTATGAAATTATATGAAAACATCCACTCTCACACATTGTCCCATTGAATTGATTCTGACTCGGATTGTGTGCCAAGAGTCGAGAGTCTTGGGAGAGCATTGGACTGGTCTCACTCCCTCTTGGGCTCATTGTCTCTGTGATGCAAACATATGTTGGCAAGTTCTTGGGGGCCGCTGTTCATGTGTGGCTTGGGACCAATGGATGTTTGAGTCGTTGACTTTTAGGATGTGGCTGCTTACTGATCCACCCAGCAGATGGTTCACAACTAAGTACTGAGAGTTCAGGTATCTAGGGTTCCCATCTTTCATGAAAACCCAAATACCACCCAAAGCACTTAATGGCAGGATGCTGAAACCACATCAAACCATATGGACCAAACGGGAGTTGATGCACTTTCTTCCACACCGACAGTGACCGACACCAACGACAGTGACCGAGGCTCCAAGAGTACGGCATCGATGGGACAAAATGCAAGAACGAGTGGCGTATGTGACCGGGGAGGGTCACCAAAGACCCTACGAGTGGCGTCGTTCTTCGAAACGAAAAATAGAACAAATAGCTGTCCAAAACCGATCAAAAGCCCATTGACATGCCAAATCATGCTAATATACCCATACCTTTTCTGTTCCAAGTCTTGACAATGAAAACACGGTGACGAAGGAGAAAACAAAGACAACTAAAGCTTCTCTTCGTCCACATCGGCCGTCCAACACGTGCTTGGTCACCCAAGCGACCGACCAAGGGGTGTCACAGGCATCAACCAGCATTCTCCGACTCAACGGGTCCCTACCTGCCACGAACGTTCAATCTCCAAAAGCCACGAACGTTCAATGTCCTGGAGACCTGTTGCCATGTTGGAGACCCTGTTTCACTGGGGCCGAAACCGCCCAGCCGGTGACGTAACGTGGCGCCCAGTGGCTCCAATGCGCCCATCATCCGAGATCTCGCATCCCATCTGCCCCAGCGCGCGCACGAGGCCCTTTGCGCCCGTCTGGAGCGCCACATCCATGGCGGTCTCCTTAGGCAGGCAGGACGGCTGCAGGCTATATGAAGCAAGTACCACAGCTCTCACACCAAGGTGGGAAACATCAAACAAGTATATGTTGTGTATTGTTGTGTTATTGCAGGTTATTGGCAAAATTATTAGATCTATACCACTATTCTGTTCAGGTTCTCCCTGTTGCTCACTGCAAGCTTTGCAACAGCACCTGGAGGCTTGGTGTCCACAACACATCAACAAGTCAGGCTGATGAACCGACTCCTGCGCTGCCCTTGGAAAGGTGGCACACACAAAAGAGTTTCCCTGCACGATCTATCGTGCAGGTTTCATCCGTCCAGAATCAATTAGAATCAACACGATACTATACAGTGATCTAAACAATCACCTCACAAATACCAGCACTACGCAACATGGGCCATTAGAAGACGAAGTTTCAATGTAAGATCATGTTCTGCCTCCAAGGGATCCAAGGAACGAACAATAATCATTGCACGACCTAGCCGATACGGTCGCCCATACGAGTCTATACCTGCACCTCTCCAAGTGTTTATTTCCCAACCGATATATGAGTGTATTGGCACCTTACTAGGAGCAAGGACACTGCCTGTAGCTCCTGGCTTTACTACTAGGAACAAGAAGCTACTAGTAACAAAGGGCATCGCTACTAGGAGCAAGGACGCTACTAGTAGCTCCTTTCCCACGGGTTTTGGTCTCCCTGATTCGTGGGCCCAGTCACACGCTCCAGTGCGGTTTGCCCCAACAGTAGGGCGGCAAGAGATCTTTGCGACAAAGAGCTGGGACCTGGACCCAAGCGGCTTGGCTACCAATGTAGACGGACTGATTCATGAACGCTTAAAGAACCACCCATGATGGTCATGTGGAGATGTTTGACTCTGCCCTATTGCATCATTCCCAGGGTATCCAGTTACCACTATGGCTGGTAAGCAGGTTCCAAAGACTAAAACCATAGACCTAGAATACTGTACCTTGTTCCTTATATATAGTGGTTTGCCTGGCATGCACTGAGATTTGTATCCTATGGTCACAATGTCAACATGACGTTTCGGCCAATTTTGCCCTCTGGAGCGATCCGCAAAGATCCACGTCGCCCACCTGGTGCCAAGTGCAGCACTCCTGCTTTCGCTTCTCGAAAGTGTCCCAAGGTCCCTGAGCCCATGGTGGCTCGCCGCGTGTGGCTCGGTCTCGTGTGGCTCAGTCTCGGGGCGGTTCCATCCCGGGTTGAGGCAAGACTTGGTGGACTTGTTGAGTTGACACCCTGGAACTTCCGATGGGTGCCTTATTTTAGTACCTGGAATGAAAAACGCCCCTGCCGTCTGAGGGGCAGATTCTTGGGTCGAGGGTCTGATTTGCAAGTTTTAGTTTCAGCTATCGTTTCGCGTAACTTTATGAAGGAAAAGGCTCGAACATGCTCAAAAGGTCATTTATATAATCACATACTTTGCGGAACATCTATGGGCTTGAACTGTCGATCTACAGAACATCCCCTGAACACGTGACAGAACGCAGAACCTTTCATTGAATGATTTGGTATGAAGAATCCAGAAGTAGAACGCCGAAGCTGGCCAATTATTGGGTATGCTACGGGTCCCAGCTGCTCTCCATTCCAAGTGAGTGGAAGCCATTCATTCTGCAGACTATACCATTTCATTTGTTTTTGTCATTCAAGGCTTTCGCTGTGGTTTAACCATGCTTAGGCTCCTGCTGCATCAACCTTTACGTATATAGCAGGTCCTTGTCGCTCTTTATGATTTATGCTATTCTGCCCTGGTGTTTGGCGATGCACCAAACTCCTGCAGTGGATCAAATCTGTATATATATATATATATAGATTGAAATTTGTTTGCGCATAATCATATAACTGTTTTCCAGAAAATTGACAAGAGGTTTGAATCTATTGAGAAAAGCTTCACTATCTATCGTCCCAGGCCAGGGCTGGAAAAGGTGTGGACCATCCTTTGAACAAAGGATATCAAGAATTCTTTCAGTCAATTCATGTCTTGATAGGGGGAACAGTTCAATTCATATGAATTGTGTGGCTTGTGCATTAGGTGGCGGGTAAACTCACATGAATTCACATGAAGCCTAGAGAATGGATCCCGAGATCCATGCCACCCAAGCACAGTCGGTGTTTTCGAACAATTCGTCCGGTATTCAAAAGCGAGAGATCATAGAGAATGGAGATCATATAATTACTTATCTACATGTGACGATACATGCTTGGGAGGCCCATAAGCATCAAACACGCAGCCTTACACTCTGCATGAACATCTTTTGGGTTGTGCTTCCGAGGACTCTGAGTAGATCATCGATGGTCAGCGTTCAGAACGCTTCCTGAACTGGCCAGGCCGCGACGGAAGTAGGCATAGCCATTCTGTACAAAGAAGCCACTGAAACCATGTCGGATGCAGAAGTCCCGGCAGCTTCGCAAGTCCTTGCGATCCGAATCGTCCCGGGTTTGGTGTATTCGGTGTGGTGAATCATAAACAACGGTCGAGATATATATGTGTGTGAGTATGTGTGTGTGTGTACCAACGTGGTACACGTGAGACGAGAAAACCCCCCAAACCGCATTTGGCCTCTTTTTTCATGTCTCATCTATATTGAATTGGCTAAACCTTGACATCAAACGGTATCTTCTGTCTTGTAGAGGAAAACAGCAAATAATGCAGCAAAACTAATTAGCCTCTGGATGCCTCTGGTCAATTGACCTTCGAGGGAACTTCATATTGGCTATATAGGGATGATGTGGAAGATGTTTCCGACCAAAACCTTCATAAATTCATATGCCCCATCACTGGTTTGAAGAGAATGGCCGGCCTTTACGCCCTTTACTTCACCGTCCCATCGGTCCCATCGGTCCCATCGGTCCAAGTCGAACCAATCGCTTTCCCATCTCCGCTACCACATGATGCTATGGTGGCATACAGGGCCATCCACTCCCCAAATACTATCCCCATGGCGCCATAGATTCTTCTTTCTCAACGTCACCGGACGCATTTGGCGTTTCTTGCCCCAAGAATCATGACTGGGCATGTAGAAATCATCTCTGTCAGGCGCATCAAAGCCAGAAATGACCTTGGATGTTCGCAAACGAACACACACAGTTCAGATGTCTCGAAGTGATCAATCTTCGGATTGGGCGACCTATATGCTCGGTGAGCAGTTGGGTTTGGGTCTGCAATCTGCTATGTGACAGGTCTATCCTTTGCGAGCCAAGGTCTGTCTCAATGGGAAGACCCGCGCATTATATTTGCGGGGGGTCCCTGATTCTCAAAAACGCATGATGAGAAAGAAGAAATGTCTTATTTAAACCTTGGGCAACACTGGAAGCGATTCGAAATCAAAAAAACATGAATCCCCCACCCGAGTAGGTGGGAGCCTGATGCTGTTCCTTGTTCCTGGACCTGCCTTTCCATGACACATCAGGACCTCACAGGTGGTATTTTACTCAAGAATGTAAGCAATCCTAGTGAGATTGCATGTTCTCATGTTGGGGTTAATGATCAAGTTGTCTATGATTCATACATAATATACACTGTTTATAAAATATAAATTATTTATGTGTATATAATATATGTGTGTATATTATGGTTCCTCTTTTTCTTTCAACCCTTCCTCTCCTTATACTCAGCTCTACCAACGACTCTCCAGCACCGCTGTCCGCGCTTTAGGCTGTTGGGTTTTCTGGGCATTCCCCACTCTCCAAGGATGCCAATGCAAGGCCTTGGCCAAGGACTCGAGGACCTCCGCGTTCCTGAATCATGAACACAAGACTCGATCTGGGGGGGAATGGCGATGTGGAGGTGATTGGAAGACCTGCAAATCTCTATGGGGGGGTGCTTAGTGACCCGGTGGTTACCCCCTTAGTTCCTGAATAAGTTCACCAGGACAACCAGGTTGTCACTTCCCGGCTTCGTGAGATGGATGGAAGCCATCCCCCATCCTTGAGGTTGTCGGGATGGATTGAAGGCCAAAGGATTGGACCGTCTCAAGCCGACCGGACATGTGACCGAAGCCATCCTGGACATTCCGATAACACGACTGCGCATGTCGTGTCATGCTCTCTGCATTCTGCAATTTTGGGGGACACCGTGCACTGCACCGTGTACACCTAAAGCATCGGGTGGAGATTTCCGAATCTAATTAATTAATTATGGCCCATTCTGGCAATCCCCTCTCTGGAAACTACAGTAGCTTCAGGGAGCACGACAAAAACACGTTAGCGGCGGTCGACCAGTCTGCATCGAAGATTCGAGGGTGAGGCCAGCGCCGCGCGGTGGAGCACGGAGGGCGACATGAGCCATAAGTGAGTCTCCTGAGGTGATGCTGTGGCGAGCTCGAGTCAATCACAAGTTGCTAATGAGTGTGATCGGCCGGGCTGGACCGGGGGTTTAGCTTGGGAAAGCTGCGGAAAATCCTGCAACTGCGAGGTTGGCCGGTTTTGGGTGGTTCCTTCAGCTCTCCAAGGGTGTTCCAAATCCAAAAATGCATCCTTGGATGGTTCGGATGTCTTGGCTTCCAAACTGTTCCCACTTCATCAGACAGCAGTCTCGTCCGGGATCACCTCTGGCCTGGGGATCCTCAGCTGGAAGAATGGTGAAGCTCACGTTCTCCAACCTTGGTCTTCGCAACAGGAGCTGAGCATGGGTCGAAGGGGTCGAAGAGTCGACATCTTCCAACAGCCTGTGGGGCCTGGGGGAACATGGGGAACTAAGCAGGATGAAGCATGACATGACCAAAAAACCTGTGTGATTCTATAACTCTATGAGGGCTGATGCTTGACTGGATTTGCTCATTTGCCAATGCTCATTTTGCTCATTTAATTGGGCCTGGTGGATTTGCTCTTTGACTGGCTTTGACTGGATTTGTTCCAAAAAGAGGTCAACAGCAATCCAGTTATCTGCCAGCAACTGAGCATGACTGAACCTCGCACTTGACTTGATGACGCGACTCCAAAAAATGCGTCTCCAACATCAACATGCATGCGCGACACACGCGCAGCTTCTCCGTCGACATGGTCTGCCTGATGAAAAAACCTCCAACCGATCGCTGACCAGCATGTGTTGCTTCTGTGTTGCGAACCTCGATGTTGAGAACCTCAAGGGGCCGAGACCGGCACTGGCAGCCTGCAAACGCATCCGCCGCACCTCCGGACGGACCGAGCTCCGACCCCCTGACACGTCCCCGGTGACCCGTCCAGGGCGCTGCATTTGCAGAATGGGTCCCAAGACCTGGAGCGACCGAGGACACGGGACCGAGGAAGGACCGAGGAAGGACCGGAGTAGCTGAGTAGCTGCTCGTTTCGAGCCAGCGAAGGGGGTCAATACGGTGGCTGGAAAAAGGGAACCAAAATGATTGGAGACTAGACAGATGTAGATCATTGTACATGTGGTTGGTGTTTGGAAAAGAGAACGTCTAAGACATAGGGGATCTTGACGAGCTAGTCTAGTTCATTCTATTTCTTTTGCATCGCCCACCGTACACATCCGCACGCCCCACTTGTTCCACGAGTTCTCGGAGTACCCGCGACATGAACAGACTGGAAAGCGGGTACTTCTGGGTTTCTCTGATTTGCAAAGCTCCAACAGTCTCTCTATTCCCATCCTCTCGCCCACTCGCAAATGTGAGTTCCGTCAACTTCGATCCACGTACATGTCAGGAACCCCAAATCTACCATGTTCTGTCTGTCTGAACCGAACATGAGCTCACTCCTGAGTTTTCTCACATGGACCCGGGAGAAAAATGGCACCCTGAGTCTGACTCTTTTCCTCCACCGTTTTATACCGTTTTCAGGTTCTATGTTTTTTTTGTTTAGAGTGTCAGTTTGCCAACAGACAGCTCGCTTCCCCAGACAGCTCTGTCGCACGTCAAACCGTCGCTCCAAGCAACGGGATGTCTCCACAAGCGCTGCAGCAGTGCCTCGCGCCGCGGGGCTGTGCTCTTCACACGGCGCGTCGAGCGGCGGCTCGAGTAGAGCGCCTTGGACCACATGCCTGGGAAGGCGGACTGCAGTAACTCCGCGTGGAGTGGTGTGGATGGAGGAGGGTGGATGTTTGATGCGTCGACATTCAGCGCAGCGCGCATGGCGGCTTTACCCAAGATCAGGAATCCAGGACCTGTTGTATGGTAGACCCATTCTACAACTAGAACAGGAGCAAACATTAAAGCATAATAATAACTCATAAGCTTTAACACCTGGCTCTTTCCTGCTTCGGCGCTTACAAGGGCACCAACCACTCCAACCCTTTGTCGGCTCTGCCTGCCTTGCAGGAGATAATCCAAGGCCAAGGTCTCAAAGCCGTTCACGGTGTCATCCTCTGGCCATTGGACTCTGGTGATATGTTTTGATCCTGAATGCCATGCCTGCGAGGGGTTTGTCATATTTTAACTATGGGGGGGGTCCGGGGGTTGAGCTTTGCTTTTGGTGTGAGGCTTTCCTGTTGTTGTTGGTTTACTTTATTTGTTGTGTTTTGCTTGAAGTATGTTGTAGTCCTCTCCCGTGGTGACGTTAATTCTTGCCGCGCGAACCTTGGGAGACCTGCAAAAGAAAGCATAAAACTGATTTTGCTGGTGAGCGCTTACTCATAAAAGTGCTGCTTTGGTGGGAAACATGACAAACCTATCTTTAGAAACAGGAGGGCTTTTGGAGTGACTGACCTGAGCAGCACCCTAAGTCAGACTGTCATATAAGGATGCCCGTTGTAAATTAACATGCCATCTAGTCTGAACCTACAGCATAGTCTGAACCTACAGCAACGGTGATTTCAACAAACCACCTGGTTAAACGTGTGTGATCCAGACTCAATTGATCATGTTCTATGTTTAAATATATACTGTAACGTGGATAGGGAAAATGCACCTTTGGTGGTCGGGTTAAAGACCGTCTTCAAAGCCTTTCTAGTCCGTGTCCCTGGAGTCTCCAACGTTTACACTGGCACATTTCTCCCCAAGATCCACAGTTAGTCTACACTAAAAATTATCAGAGCTATATACTTCAAAACTCCGTCCTCTCCACCTAGAAACCTGCATTGATGGGGCCAAAATTCAGCAAACATCACCCAAATCAACGGCACATCCCAGCACCAAAGCAGATTGAATGCCCATCCAATCAAACCCGTATTGGGCGGTTTAGGATACCCATCCAACCAAACCGCATTGAATACCCATCCAACCAACAAACATCCCATCCCAGTCCCAAACAAAAACCTACGACCTCTTTGGAGACTCGCCACTGGGACCGAACCCGCCACTGGGATCTCAAGGACGGTCCCTGGTCTATGTTTCTTTGCTTCTGGCACAGAGTGGCAAGCAACACGCGTGGACTTTGAGCATTCAAGCTGATTGCTCTGGGTAAAGTCTCCTGAAAGCCCTTGGTGAGCTCGGCGGGTGGGCGCTTCGAGGCAGTCAAGGTCCGGGTGCGAGGCTGGAGAGCTTCCAAGACCAGAATCCTCGGCATTCGAGGATGAGGAAGAAGCAGCGCGCCCACTCACGCAGCGCACGTCATCAAACAACAGAATCAACATGGTTTCATTGAAGTCTTGATGGCTCTGCAGGAATTTCGGAAAATGCTCGATATAGGTTGTCGACGTACTAGGAAGTCTTCCTCCGAGGCCTTGCCATGTGTCTCCCAATCCCTTCGGGGGACGCGGGGGACAAAGAAGCGTCTTTATTAATTCAGTCTAGTTTAATTTGTTCCCTGTTCGTTAGTGTCTGCATAGGTCTTCTAGTTGATTAGCGAATTCAGCATCATGGGTCATATTCAGTATATATATTTATAATAGTTTTTTGAGCCCCATGCCAAAATCCCCAGTGTTAGTTTACAGCGACAATCGCCTTTGGGTTTTGCTCCTGAGGGGGGTGCAGGGGCTAAGTGCAATTGTTGGAAGTGTTCTCAGAAGTGAGTTTGTTGAACTGGGGAGTCATGCCGAACATCAACCGGAACAACCAAAACTAGAATCTATGATTGTCAGCTGCGAATTGGGGGGTGTATATAGATCAACAAATCAGAGTGGCTGGTCAACACCACCTAAAATCGACTCTGCAATTTGTGGGAGATCATTCATCTCAGCTGATTCTGCAGACTCATTCAGCTGCTGTGGGACCCTGCTGTGTGAGGATGCATCATCTCTTCCTCCCACAGCAGGGTCCCCATACTAGATCCGCTCCGCCGCTCCAAGCGTCTCGTCGCCGATCAGCAAGCCCTCCCGCAGCTTGGCGTCGGCTGGGAGCACTGGCAGACCATGCACAAGAGGCCTCGTCTGGGATTCAGCTTGGCAAGAGGTTCTTCAATCCAATTGGGGTGTTTTTTTTTGTCATCCTCTTGAGTCGAGGATATATACATGACCAACTCCCCAATGGTCGTCCCCTAAAAATGGCACTCCTCTTGCATGTCGTCCAAGCTTTCATGGAGAAGGTGATAGTCTGAGAGAACGCACATGCCCAAAACAAGTTTGGTAAAGCATTGAATCAATTGAATCTCCATGTTCCGAAGAATTGACTTTTCGTGCTCCCACCCGAATCTTCATGTGTCTATTTTTTCCCTATGTTGTGGTGGAGACAACAAAGACTCTCTCTCTCTCTCTCTTTCTGATTCTCTTTGTACTCAAATGTCCCTTGGTCGCTCCCTAGAGAGCGATAAGCAAGAATACATAATAATACTATGTTTCATTTTCAATAGGGCAAACACATCCAAGTTGCACCCAGTTCACCTTTTAACATGCTTCCCTACCTGAACATCTGTTTAGGGGAATCTGGCTGCGACTGTTTCTCATTTGTCTGATGGCCGGTTTCACTTCCAAAGGTATTGCAACATTGTAACATCTGTGAACTGGAAAATAACACCAACACTCAACACCAACAAACCCTTGTGGTGAAACAGTCTGGCATTCATCAGTGGGCGGGGGCAGGATATGCCAACCTCTGGCACATGGATGCTGTCAGACCGTCCAAAAGTCCAGCCAAAGCAGCGCAATCTTCGCAGAAACCCGCGAGCTCCATCGTCGCAAGGTGTGGCTGGCATCATCCATGGCACGGATCGGGAAAACCGTTGACAGGTGGATTGATAGCCTTTCTATTTGTGTTTTGGGTCTATCCTGGCACAAGCGATTCTGAAGAGAAGGTGCCGAAAGTACGAATCAAACAGAATTATATGCAATACTTTAGAGGTTGCTCCACTGTTTTTGTTGTGAGTCTATTACTACAAGTACGAGGTCGTGACTGATGGTGACTGCGTGTTAGTTTGTGTTGCGAGCTTCGCTGATCTGAATTTGGAGCTACACTTGTCAAGTTCTTGACCCAACACCCAATCTTGGGGGAGTTATACAACATCATGATTTGTTGGGGGCACTGGAAGAACTTTGCCAGCGCAAAAACAGCACTGGCATGGCATCAAGTTGGGGCTGCCCACTTTTTAGCCTCTTCTCTTGCCAGAATCTGATCCAGCGTGGCATGCAGGCCAGCTACTCTGGAAGGCAGAACCTGAGTTGTGTGTTTCAACTCGAGAAGAATAAACACAAACATCCCAATCAAGTCCCTATACAATATGCAAGTGGTTCCCTGAACAAAATGTGTGTCACCACTTTTCGGAGATTCCAAAGGGTGCCTATCAAGCAACACTAATCGCAGCTAAACTGGACACTTCTGCTCACTAGCAAGACTCTCAGAATTCTTGGTCTCACTTGCGGAGGCAGTTTCATCGTTTAATTCAGCACTGGACCTCCAACTGTGTGGTTTCTGCTCTTGTCATCAGGAAAAACCTGATGGGTCCTGGAAAGTTCTCGTGTCTTCTGCTGCCAAGAGCCCCCTCATGATCTTTTGGAGGAGATCATTTGCGGGACAAACTCAGCAGATTGTAAGGGTTTAGTACGTTTTGGATGCCTGGGGTCATCTGGGGGTAAACCCACTCAGCGCTAAATCAGCTCACATTCTTTTTCCCGGTGAACTGTCAGCAGTTCACTTCTTTGATGGCCGACCCCTTTTCTTCGCTTATGGCTCCTCAGAAACACTATCTCCAAACCGACAAGGAGCTTTCAAGGTGTGACATTCAAGGTGTGACATTCAAGGTGTGACACCTCAAGTACGAGCAGGGAGGACTCCAAAACTTGTACATCCAAACAGCAACAAGGAAAAGCCAAGACAGGCAGACTGTCCGACTGTCCCAGCAATGAGGACAAGGCTTCAAACACATACTAAGAACATCCAAGATATATAAAATATTATATATATAAACCGAAACCCTAAATCCTAAACCCTATGTATATACATGTGTATTCACATCGTCGCATCAATGATACCAATGCCCGTACAACCCACCAAAAAGCTTCGAACAGCAACTCATGAATGTTCTAGATGAATTCCTGACCCCTCATCCGCCTCATCCCTCCCTCTCTGTTCAGTTCATCCTCTTTTCTTTCGCACCCTTTGGGCGAATCGATCGCGGTCTCAGTCCGTACGGTCTTCATACGGCCGATCCGCGCGTGTGGCCCTTTGGCCGTGGCCGTTTTGGCCGAGGGGTGGAGGGGTGGAGGGGGTGTGGCTAAAGGAGGACTAGGTGGAAGCTTGGGAAATATGTGTTCGGTATGGTTCTTGATACAGCTACATAGTTACTTTATGTTATTTAAATATGTATATAATATATATTATCATGATAATTACAAGCTATACTAATGATATTCATTCAAGTCAGCATAAATAAAGACACACCGCCGTCTTATTCTACTGCTGTATATCACAATCAAAAGAACAGCCATCCTGTCAATTAATGTTCTCCAACTCCAGCGTCGCTTGACATGTTTGTACCCTGTAAGGAGCGCATAAACAGGATAATGCCATCTATAGATGCCCCTCGCAGGGGGTCTAAACGACGTTCAATAAAACGCAGTAGTATAATTTAGTGGGTAGAACAGTATATAATATATATAAATGTTACATATACTACTGTACTGAGAGTTTTTGTGTTCTGCCTTTGCCGCAAACCCTTCTCATGTGCCTTTAGCAACCAAACTCCCAAAACGGGAATCCTCTCTGCCAAAGCCGCTAAACAAACATGGAAACTGAAAGCGCGTGGGCGTGGAATGGCATGGAACATCATCTTCCTCATCTATGGGGTACCACATGGTACCATCTTAGTTTCTTGGCAGGATCAAGCTATCTGCTGGACTCGCGTGTGGCGTCGCCGCTGGCGTCCGCTCATGCGGCATTGGGCGCGGGGCCCTCACTGACCGCCCTCGGACGACCGAACGACCGGCCGGTCGAACTGGGTCCGCAGTCTGCGGACCAACTCTCCGAAGGTAGACCGTAGGTGGACCGTTGATGAACGTTCTACTTCAATGTAGAATGATCAAGGATTAAGAACCGACCAGGATGTTCCATTGTTGGAACCGTTCTACTGGACCGTTGATGCACGTCCAAAAAAGGATTTGAATCCCTCCCTTATATTGAGAACGAGAACCGACCAGGTGGATACATCTCCATGGTGAACCCCCCCTAAATATAAACAGTCACTAAAAAAACGTACCCCCTAACGTGGATTGTGAAACCTCTTCAGGCCTGTGGGGATTAATATGGTTTGATTCTTCCAGAGTCGACCTTCATCGGATTTTACGGAAAGCACTGAAAGACACTGAAAGTGTGGGGATCGGTGAGCACCAGTGCGGTGTCCAGGGTTTCTGGGAGCAGTGACTCAAAACCCGGAGATTTGGAAAGATTTGACAAGATCTCATCACTGATCACCCCTTTTTTTAGAGTCTGGGCAGATTTGACCAATAAGACTTGAGTAAGAGAGTCTTGGCCATACTTGACGATACTTGAGTCTTGGCAGCATACCATGCAAAGTCTCAAATACCTTCAGGATCCTTCAGGCATGATCATGAAATGAGGATAAATGAGGTACTGTATCCCATTTGTCGGGATCTTGGTTTGGCCTTACTCTCATATGGTCCATGCGTCTGGGATGATGGCTGCCTTGACCAACACTGTGAGCATGCGTCCGCACCGGACTGCCGGACTGCGAACGAACGTGAACCACGATGCGACTGGGCACCTGGAATAATTCTTCCCTCAGCTTTCTCACAGGTTTACTGCTAGAGAAGAACTGATACACAAATTCTCCCAACATGTCCTGCACTACCCCAACGGTTGATGTTTGCCTGGGAGGAAGTGAACTCCTGCAACAAAGCTTGATGCCTGCACTAGGATACTATTGGGCCTTCTTTGATTGTCCCCAAATCCAAAAGATACAGCATCTGCCAGCTGTAAGATGCTGTAAGTGCATTCATATTCTGTGTGTGCAAACTCTCGCATCACAGCGGGAGGCCGGACCCTCCATCGCCCTCCACTCCCACTGGGCTGTTGGGACTTCTGTGGAAGATCCTCCTCGCCACCCTGGGCACTTGCGACCGATGGCTACGATGCCCAGCAGTTGCGACGCTCCCAAATGGTATGGCCCACATGTGACACCAGCTGCATGACTGCAAACTGGTAGATCATGGAAGATCTGTAGAAGTCTCCCAAAGCCTGGTCTGACTTCTTGGTCTCAGGACCCAAAGACGAGATCCTGCGGACTGAAACCCCTTCGGTCCCTCGGACCCGAAGGAAGTCGCCCGGGCGACGGAGATCGACCCGGTCCAAGCGTCGGCCGGTGCTTGGAGACTGCATCTCCCTCCAGGCAGAGGAGAAAGACCAGAGCGGATGCACAAATCACCCAACAGTGTTCCCAAGAAAACCACAGCAACCTTCCATGATCCCAAGGGTAAAACCACTGCCAATTGGCTTATTGGCTTCCTATATATCTTTTCACATAAAGAAAACCACTGTTGTTATGAAATCCGATGTCAATTGCAACATACTACGTAAATACTGCGTAAATACGACGTCAATATGCCAGTCCCATGGATTACTGGGGAAAGATGTTTCCTCCGCCGAGATCCCCAGGTCCCACGCGAACTCCACCCCGCCTGGTGATCCAGCTTCACTGCACGACCCACCTGCACCCGTCGAACGCTTGATCAACGCTCTATAGAGGACACTGATTCTACCATATTAAAATATATATAATACAATTTTATACCATAGGGCCATAGGTATACGCTGAAGAGGGAGTCAGTTTTATCTACTGTAGTTCTTTTTAGTGTCGCAACAATGTACAACTTGCATACTAAAAAGGTATCTTCGCCCCTGATCTTGGCGAGTCCTAACTCACCAGCGCAAGGATATCGGAGGTATCGCATCGAGCAGTTACCTCCAGGTTCCGGATCAACTCGATGGCATCCGGCGGCGGGGGTGGCGGCTTGAGCATCTCCTCCTGGAGCGATGCTGGTGCTGGCGGCACTCGATGGGAACGACCAGCTAGTTATTCAATGTAACCCATTCCGCTGAATTCTTGGTCTTTGCCGGGATGATCATGGATCCGCAGCTACCCTGTGCAAAACCACTGTAACACTATAGTGACAGTAATTAGTGGTGCTTTCATGTTCTTTCCAGTCTCTGGTCTGTGCCTGTTTCGTGTCGTTCGTGGATGTTCGTGGCCATGGACCACCCCTTTCCGTCAGCATCCGTCGAGCCCTTTCTGTCTCTCCGTGTCACTGTGGCGCATGGCGGGCGGTCCTCGTCGTAGGGCAAAGGAGTGGAGGTGTCTCGGCGGGCGGCGACGTGTTTGCATTGCAGAGCGAAAGGGCTGAGCTAAGACCTGTGAGGGAAACAGCCCTCTGAGACGAATTCGGCGGAGACTGTGGAGATCAAGCGTGCGGATGAAGTGATGCAATATGATGCAGACGCCCAAGAAGAATGGCAGACTGGCATACAGTAGCTTCGGGCGTACGTATACGAGGCTATTCAGACATGAAGTACATAGACCGGGCTAGCTTCAGCATCGCTTCAAGTATAGAAGATCCTTTGATTCAATTGAAAAGTACCCATGGTGCGTCCTTACGACGATTCAGTGCCGATCCCTCTCCAGGAACGCCCGGAGGGATGCAGCATGATTGAATGTCTTGCTCTTGCAAACGTCGACATCCTGGAAGACGCCATCACCAACTAGGACAAAGACCAAAAACGGCGACTTTCAGCACAGCTGGCCCAGCTGAACACCTGGCTCTGGTAATGTGTTGAGCGGAACCAAGGAACAAATTCACTATTATAAAGAACAAAAGGTCTGAGAACTCTTTCCTGGGAAGTTACTACATGGACATGGACCATGTTTCCCTTCAAGGCCACAACCAGGAACTCCGCTCAGCTTCCGCACTATCAACCTGGAACTCCGCCAGGACCCAGTAATTGGGCCGCGGGGTGCCACCTCGGAGTGGCAGGAGGTGTTCGTTCGCATGAACAGCGTTCGATGTTCACATGGAGGTATGACATGGTTTCACCCTGTCTCTGTCATTTCATGCGTCATTCCAGAACCGATAATATAACATCTCAGAGGAAGGTCGGAGATGCACAGCATGGATGGGTGTTGAAGCATGACGATAACGGCCAAAGAGTTGAAAGAGCCTGGAACCCCCACCAAGCCCGCAGAAAAGAAGGGGAGATGATCACTTAAATGACATGGAATGACATGGACTGAACTGGGGTGCATGACTTTGAACCCTGTCGCCTTGGGCCCTTGCGACTGGCTTAGCTGGAGGCTTTGTCACTTGGTTGACCCACTTGATCCTCCTTCACCCTCCGTTGACCCACTGGACTTGACGCACCTTCGCCCTCAATGGAGCTCGCATGGAGTCGTCATGCACTTGGGCTCCCGGCCTAGCATGGGAGCGCCTTCGAAGGGGATGTCCTTCCTGACGCTTTCCAACGGAACCGGCCGAGCGGAACCGGCCGACCGGTGCCACGACGCCAAAGGTGCGGGGTGACACGTGACACGTGACGCGGCCTGGTCCTGAAAAACGTAGCGATCGATTGGGGGTGAAGCATCTTTTGCGATATCCATCACGTGTTGAACCTGTTGATCTTAATATATCACATTTTACAGCACTCCGCCCTTTTTGTCTACCCCTGCTTGGACCTCACTCGTGAGTGTTGCATCTTTCTGGAGGTACCCTCGTCGTCTAACAATTGAACAATTGAACCAAGCCAGGTGTCTACCAGGTCTATCGGGCATTTGCACCAGACTGGTTTTGGCACCGAAGCTTGCTCAACCCTCCATTGACTCGAACACTGTGCCCACCAAGCAAATTTCACATGTCGGATTGAGACTCTATGTTTATGGACCCCCTACACCGGAGAACAAAAATTGAAAACAACACATGTGCAGAACTTCAAAGACAGGATTCCCATGGCGAAAGAGTCTTGGCTTGCTTGTTTGTTCCAAACGTATGGGTCTTCTTCAGTCATGATTCAGACTCTGCTTAATTGCGAGTTGTTATTTGTTATCTTTAAAGGCCTTTAAGAGGCTCCACCCTTCCTGCTTCCAGGCTCTCACCCATCCCGCCATGGCCGGACCCGCGTGAGTCGCCTGACGAAGGGTTCCTTGTCCTTGGACTTCTTCACACCTTAGGGTTTTGGAACAGGTGGGAGGCCATCGCTAGTAGGTGGGAGGCCAACGCTTCTAGTCTGGAGGCCATCGCTACTAGGTTGGGATCCAAAGAAGATGCACTATAGTTACTAGGCCTGTGATCTTCGCCACGAACGAACCGGTTCCTTAAACCACCGCATTCGGTGAGTCGTTCCTTTGGATCCTTTGGAACACGGCCCTTTGGTGTCCAAAGGGTGTGGTGGGTGTGGAGTGCCGCGGAGAATATCCAATCCAAAGGACAAAACAAGACATACATGTTACATGCCTTCACCATAGTCAGAACATCCAGGCGAACTCAACACACCACAAAAGCCTACAGGGCCCTGTAAAGCCCCAAATGCATGCATGTGTTGTTTTGTTTTTTTAGTCATTTTTTTCCGATAGTAAAAAGTATACTATCAAATCTTATTGAAAGAAGCACATCTCTCCAGCGGGGTGGTTCTTTACCTTCACATCCACTGCGATCCGAACATATTTAGAAACCTAGCGCCGGCATATCTGTTTGTGAGGAAAGGACGCAGCAGGAAACAGCAGGACGCTTGCCCGATGCTACCGGATGCTACATGAAACAAGCCGGTTCAAAACAACCCACCGTTTGAGAGCCAAACACCGGCCCAATCGCCGCCCTGGAGTTGTGGCCAGGAGTCGGTCGGCCAACAACTCGTCAAGGGCCACATCGCTGGCCACCTGGTGCAGATCGAGAGCTGGCCACTTGGTTGGGTGCATTTAGAACTTGCTTGGCCACCACACTGAAAAAAAGACCACCATGATGTTTGGCAAACTGACCATTTCAGGAATCCATGTCTGCAAAGGCCCACACATGTCCGCGTAGCTGCAAGTAGCCCATCCATGTACATCGGGGCACGCATGTGCAGTTTCGAGGTTTGGATATCATGCGTAGGCCCAAGTTCCCTCTCTAAGTGCAGCCAGCAAAATCATGCTGGAAGGCCAACTCAACATGGCCAACAACACCAACTCAAGATGGTCAACAAATGCCAACAGTATGATACAATATCTATCTCGACCTCGACCCACTGAAAGCCCATATAGACTATTATAACTAAACAGTTCTAAACTATGGATCGTAGTAGTTTTGCGTAGCCCATGGGTGCTGTTTTGTGCCCTCATGCTGTCGACAATGCACTCTGAACCACGATGATTCATACCACGCACGCCATTTTCAGGCCCTCGTTCTATCAGGCCCAGTTTCCAAAAGTGAACCACCCAAAGATCTCGTCTCATCCAGCCCATCAAAGGTCAAATAAGCAAAAACCACTCAGGAATCGAAGCTCCTTCGCCCTGCCACGCTCGCTCTGACTATGCGCAATGAAAAAGGCGTCGGTTTCCCGACTCCGTAGAAACCGAGCGAGCTCCGCCTGAAACACGACCAGTTGCATCGTCTGTGCTTTGTCCTCGCACGAAACCATGTCTGCACGTCCCGTTGTGTTTCTCGCGAGCTCGGCGAGGTGGTCGTGTTCCCCCCCCGTACGGATTCTCTCTCCCGAATGGACCCGTGTGGGAATCACCCGGTGCTATGGTGTGGTGTAAAGGGGTCATGAAGATTAAGTTATAGTATATACTAAGATATACTAAGGGGGCGGCGAATGCCAAAATGGCGAAAATGGAACGTCTTCATTCATCTTCTAGCCACAAACTTGCCTATAGGTAGAAATAGAAACGCAGCAGAGTGGGGGGGGGCCTGTGCATGTTCAAACCAATCCATCAATCTTCTGCGGCTACTTGCAACGCTTGAATTTCTTTGTGAACCGTGTGGATCCTGGTGTTAAAGAAGTGGCTCTGCATGAAGACTTAACTGTGTTGCAACATTGAGACCGACACCCAACAATTCCAAAAAAAACCTGAAAAGGATAGAAAATGGACGCGTTGTTTGTTGTTTTTCTTTTTTGCCTCTTGCTACAGCCCTCTCGAGGAAGGAGGAGGTCTCGGTCTCGCAAGCAAACCTCGCGTCAGCCAACACTCCTCGCTGGTGAGGCGGACCAAACCTTCATGCACCTCCCAGTCGGACAGGGCTCTGAGACGGAACCAACCAACGAGCAGACCGCCACGTGTGGGCGGGCGGCAGCCAAACCAAAGAATGAACCCCAAATGGTTGACCTGGGTGGAAAGGTGATGGAGACCGGGAAAACACCCACCATTTCAAGGTTGCTTGCTGAAGAGACGGACACTTAAAAAAATGTTTGTTGCTTGCTGAAGAGAAGGTCCTCTGCACCCACATCGAAATAACATGAAATCACGTTACGGGGATACGGAGGGTTTGGTCCAAAGTTCCACGTCCTTGTATGGCTGTTGTTCTGAAGAACCCGCACTCCAAACATCAATGCCAACTGCTGCAACGCCGTGGCATCTCACATGCCCATGCTGCCATGTTCGTATCTGTTTCCCACCGAGGCGTTGACAGAGATTGTGAAGTGGAAAACAAGCAAGTAGTTTCAACATCATGTCCACATCTCCTGTTGCAGGAACTTCTTCCCTAGTCTTTCTGCTTCATCAAAATCCTGACCAGACCAAATCCATTTCCAGGTGGCCCCTTTCGTGGTTGTTGGGCACTCGGCACCTGGCAAGTGGAATCTATATATTATATTTGAACCTCAAAATCTTGGCTCCAGTTTCTCTGGCAAAAGTATAGAAGCTGGTTTCCCTATATGTTGATTGAAATTCCAACAAATCTTGACTTGCGTGACTTGGGGTCATCGCGCTATCACTTTCAATACTGGATCAAGTGGTTGTGGGAATTGCTCCATCTACACATATCACCAAGCTCAATGGCGCTTCTGCTGGTGCCCCCACCAGCGCTGCGCCTCGGCCCTGCTGGAGGTGTCGGTGGACAACAGCCGCCTGAGCGGCTTTCAGCGCAGGGATTTCTCGATGTTCACAGCAGTAAAGAGGATTGGCAGGTGGGCAACAAGTGATATATGGGTATGGATTAAAGAAAACTGCCAAGCAGCAAGTGAGCGATGATTAAAGCGCTTGTATGAACAAATAGCTGGAAAGTTATCGTCTTTGTTAAGGGGTTTGGTATCGTTTTCCAAGGAAAATCACACATTCTACCATTCCACCCTTAGGAACAACAGCAGCCTGTCTCTTTTCACATGCTACTGTCGCTGTCAGCTTCATTCAGCTATCGTATTTGGTATTGTTTTGGTATCCTTTTTTGCTTCGCTCCAAAAGATCATGTCTTATAACACACCACATTTAGAATTGTGAAAAGCAGGCACATCGACAGGACATCTCCCGTCGATATCACAAGCACCACCTGTTTGTAGAGGAAACTGGTCGTTCGCGCGGCCACTTTCCACTTCCCTGATTGTGATTAATTGCAGTGAGGGTCAATAGAATTTGCCTTGGAGTCAGCCATGTTCATTCAATTCCCGCCTAGCAGCAAAGCACATGTCAAACATTCAAACTAAATATAGTAAACATAGTAACTAGCCAGCTTTTTATCAACGACTCCGCATGATTTGGATGAACATCCAGTTCCTGGCTCCAAACATCAATTAGTCCAGGTCCTGTTGAACCCGGAATCCACATCAAACATCGCTCCAGAGCACCGAAACACCCAAACCATCGAAGTCCATCTCACCTCATCTCCGCAAGGTTCCGAGGCTTTCGTGGTCGAACGGATCAAAAGCCACGCCTGGACAGGACTTGCACCCGCTGCCAATTCCCCACGACGGCCACCACGCGCGCCTCAGGGTGCAAGCTTGATCGAATATGTTTGAAACATGATTACAATTATACCACGTTGGAAAACCGTTTCCAAATTTAAAACTATATTGAGATTCATATTAATATAAATATATACATGAATGTGTGTTTCCACCCCGTTGTCCTACAAGTTTGGGGATGTTCTGGAGGATTGAACTTTGTCGACGAGGGTTGCCAGCTCCCCAACCTCATTCGACCAAAAGCTTCGCAGCTTCGATCAAACCGGCTCGACGTCGAGTGGAGTAAAAGTGTAGAAAACCATCCTCCAACAGGTCACCCTGGTCACCTTCCTGCTTGGCGTACTTGGGGATCAACAAATGTGTTTTTCCTGAATCTTCCAGACAACGTGACCATGTTGCCACTTAAGATCAGCGGCATGAAATGGCATGCATGTCAGATCAAAATCCTCCGGACCAGCATCAGCAATCACATGCAATCACCTATTTCCTTCCTGCATCAGCTTGCAGCAAGCACGGGACGACGCCATTCAACAAGATAGATAGACCAAACATCTCTCGAAACTTCAGATTCCGTCATTTAGTTTAGGAACTTCAGATTTGGTGCTGGTAACCTCCTTCACTGCATGTCAAAAACAGGTCCAATCGTCAAATTCCGTCCTTTTTACACCCGAACCCAGCTCCACAGCAGAGGAACATCATTTTTTTTGCAACCAGTTAAGTCAGTTTCCTTATGAAGCGGTCCAACAACCAAACGGAAACGCCTTGTTGAAGCGGTCCACCCGCGATCTCTGTTTCGTTCTCCCCCTGAGCCGCTGGGCCGGACCCTTGCAGGAGCCACAGCGCATGCAGGGCTTCAGCGCTGAGCGGATCCTGAGCGCTGAGCGGCGCGGCTTTCGGGAGGACAAAAGGTTTTCTGAGGAGCCCATGTGTAGACAACACAAGAAGATTCTTAAGGTTCTGAGGTTCTGTAGACCAGTCTTAAGGTTCTGAGACTCAATGAAGAACCAGGTCTAAACGAAGAACCTTAAGACTTGGAGACTCAATCAGGTGATTGAATGTGAAGATTCCGAGTGAATTGAGACTCAACTGTTTGAATTATGGTGTTCTTGTTGGTGTTTTTTTTGTGTCTGCGGGATTCTGTGTGGGAGGTTTTTGAAACTCTTGTCAACAAGCTGAGGGCATCGAGAAGCAAACATAGCACCCTCCAGGTGGACCTCATAGTCATAGTCGTAACAGGTGACCAGAAATACCTGGAGTCTCCATAATAATATATATATAGGATTGTGTCAATGACGATAAATCTTCATGTAGGACATCCGCCTTTGTGACTTTCAACCATTAAATGTTCCTAGACATCATATAGGTTTGCAGAAAAACTGTTGACTCTGGTATTCAAATATCATGGTTCCACACATTTGCACACATGTACTAGTACATTGTTTGTATCACAGTATAAGTTTCTGGTGCAAATGACATGTGTTTCACTCACAAGGAAACATAAAGCATGTATACGCCCTCGGCACACCAGTTCTGGATGGACAACCCAAGCACACACTGTTCGACTGTTCAGCGCGATGATCGATCACAGTGAAAAATCACATCACCACAGTCACCACAGTGGCGCTTCGACCTCAACGCCCCCGCGCGAATCGACCGCACCGCGCAAATCGACCGCCCCGCACTGCCACACCTGTGCCGCAACTCTTCGCTGGTGGGTTTCTTGCCACCTGATGTGCCGCTCGTCATGGAGAGACGGAGGCCGTCAGGCCGCTCCATGTGACACTGAGACAGTGATCCTCAAAGAAATGGAGTCCAAACATCTGATCGTGGGGTTGGAAGCCAAAGCTGAGGCATTTGGCTTACATAAAGCACTGACATGTGTTGTCATCAAATGTTATCAGTGAGCAGCAAGGGTGTTGCACGTCTAACAATATATGTTGTGATCTAAAGGGTTTTCCTGAGAAGGAACGTATCTTGAGAGAAGCATGGTGTCGGTTCAACCCATGTGGTTCACACCCCTCTGCTCACCTTGGACTCACTAGTAGCTTCTTGTTACTGGTAGTAGAACCAGGAGCTACTAGTAGCTTCTTGTTACTAGTAGACATGCCCTTTGTCACTAGTAGCTTCTTGTTGCTAGTAGTAGAAACAGGAGCTACTAGTAGCTTCTTGTTACTAGTAGAGATGCCCTTTGTCACTAGTAGCTTCTTGTTGCTAGCAGTAGAACCAGGAGCTACTAGTAGCTTCTTGTTACTAGTAGAGATGCCCTTTTGTCACTAGTAGCTTCTTGTTACTAGATGTTACTAGTGCACTTTTTGTCTCTTCTCCTAGGTCCGGACCATCTTCAGAGATCACCTCCTTGATGTGGCTCGCCCTGCGATCGGCTCCTCTGGCGGAGCAATGCAGGTGAGGCGCTTGCGCTGGTCAGGATCTCCCTAACAATCATCCATGTGACTGGACGATTTGATTTGCCTACATGGTCCGGATGGTTTTAAAGATGTTTCAAGGGTCAATGATTCTCCTACATTCTCCTACATGTGGTCAAGAGCACCGCGAAACCACGCCGACGTTGGGACGTACGGGGTGACCAGGTGACGTCGTGAATGACGGTTCGGCGAGCGAAAGATCCCGAAGGGCGGGTGAATGTCTTAGGAATGTTCTGAGGATCTCAGTCTTAAAAGACTTAAGACTTATAGACTAAGAATACGGGCGGATGGATTTCATATCATATATTCTGAGAATCTCAGTCTTTTGTGGATCCATGTATGTCGAATCCATGTCTTCCTTTTTCTCCGATTGGTCTAAAGGATTTGTTGAAACGCACCAATAAAGTTTCATCCAGCCCAATCAGAGGGTGGACAGGTGGACAAGCTGTTTCAGGGTGGACAAGCTTGTACAGGTGACGAACCAGGGAGTCGTCGTCCCTGAAACAAAACAACCAGTCACTCGGCAGCTCAGCACAACAGCACAAAAGAGGGTCTTGTCAGAAACCGAAGGTAGACTCTTGATTAATAAACCCCCCATTTGGATTGCAAAAAGAAGTCTTCACTTGGAGGGTTGTGAATCAATTCAGTTAGCATAAATGTGGAACTTCCTTATGTCACTGAACCTGACTCCAAGGCGATGTGCTCGTGATCTTCACGAAGCTTCAGCGGGTTGACCATCAACGCCCCCGGCTGAGTTCGAGCCGTTCGAGCAATCTCGTGACCGAACTGGAAGGGACACCATTGCTTCAAGGGCCAGGTCTTGAGTTCTCTCCGTGTCCCTGGACTCCCTGGACTCCTCTTCTCTGCGAAGTGGCCCTTGGCGTCAAAGGTTTCAGGATTCGCTCTACTTACTTCGTTGCACTGCGACAGATTTAACAGCCACACAAACCCAAAGAAAGAAACGTTCAACGTTGGTCTTAAATATTCCAACAAAAGGAACAACCGCAACCAACACCACCAAGGGGTTTTCGATGGTTTTCTGGTGTTCTTCTACCTTGCTGTTTGGAACCGGGACTTGGCCGTGAACACTCGAGACAAGTGCATATCATCTCATAGACACTGCTGAGTCAGGTTTTTGAGTCGCATCGAGACCGTGTCGAGACACCTCCCGCACGAGCTGGGATGAGACCGATGGGATCCTCCACATTGCATAGATGCACATGAACGGACCGTATATAACCGCATACATATATATACCAGGATATGGAGACTGTCATATATCCTTACGGCAGTATCTGATCAGGATGACTGCAAGCAGCAAGGATCCGTGCCTGATCTTTCTGGTCTGGTAAGCAGCTCAAACGTGAAATCTTTGAGACACCACTAGTGTCATAAAACCTGGTAGCTGAACCTCATTGTTCTCTTGTATCTGCAGGCTAGCCAATTTGTCAATTTGACGTGGCTATTAGCTATCTAGCCTTTGTTGATTCAACGTGACTCTCCTGGCTATGTTTGATTGGCCTTTGTGTGTGTGTGTGTCTTTTTAATCAATCACAAGTAATCCCAACATATCCCAACAAATATCTCTGTTGGGAATTGTTTCGGTACTAAGGGAATGTACCCAGCTGTTTTTCGTTAATCCAAACAATGACACTGGGGAATTGAACTATCCTCACTCCCCGAGCTTAAGATCCTCGAGCTAGACATGCCTGGCTATGCCGTCCATCATGACTGCTGGGGAACCGGAGGACTTGTACCTACCTATACCTACTGTACCTAGAACCTGAGTGACCTCTGTTGTTGATAGCAACCAACCATGCTTGGCTCCAAACAGTGTTTTCCCTGGGTTTAGGTATCGGTATGTGATGGTATGTGCATATGATATATATAAATACCTGACCTATAGGATCCTATAAGTCAATGACCCCTAGTTGTTTTGGACCATCAAGGCTCCAACAGATCGTCTGCTCCAATCAAAACAGGCGTCTGGTAGGTACCTGGTACTGGGTCTGGTATGCCTGGTCTTTTCTCTCTCGTGGTGATCGACCATCAAAGCCGCACCAAGTCACTTTAAGGCCAAGTCACTCTTGCGCCAACTTGGCAAAGTGGCTGGAGTCCACTTCAGCCTAGCTGAGCGGAGAGAGCCAACATGAACAAAGAGTGGAGAGCGCCCTTGGAGAGCTGAGGGAGCTCTGCTCACGCCCTCTTTTTCCCTGTGAAGACATGGAAGGCCAGATAACCGAGGTGGTTACAATTATGTTGCAATGAAGGATGTCCTTCCATCTGCACTACCGAGGTTTGTAGCGGAGGCGATCCACCTTGGCCTGTAACTGTAGTCTGCTGATCTGCAGAAGTGCTGATCGATCAAAGTCGTAGGTACCGTGACGGTGCGTGAGGAGATGATGCCACGAGGGGATGATGCCCGTATTGGAATTAAGTTGGATCTTCGGGGGACAAGGGTCCGAAAGCCCAAGTTACCCTAGGCCTCCAAGTACCTTCTGAGAAGGTGTTTGGGGTTTGTCTGGAGGGTTAAATACCTTCTGAGGAGGTACTTGGAGGTGAAGGGCAAGTTAGTGTAAACAAAAACAACGCTTTCTGCCTAGCTACAAAATGGTCACCTAGTTTGAGCTACCTGGGACTCTATGATTCTGATCTGTACCAAGTGTGCTCTCCCAAATAAGACAGTTGTGCTTGCACAGCGTGGGTGCCTAGTGCCTCTGGGTCCATCACTCGCGGTCCAAGCACCAGGCGAGTAGAGTGAATTTCGATAGACTCAAGCAACACATTTGGCTAGTGAACCCCTTGAGATAGTTCTCTTCATACAGGATGAAACACATCCCCTCATCATTCATATCAAGAATTCCTGGTATCTCCAACCTTCGCCCTCGGTCAGTCCCACCTCCCAGCTCCCAGCAAGTGATTCTCGAAGACCAAAATAGCTCTGGATATATAGCTCCCTCTGAAAGAAAAATGATACTGTACTCCCCGCCTCCATAAGGCATCATAAGGCTCCTACTGATGGTTGATGAATCAACCTCCTCCCCAGGACCCGACTCAACAGGTGAAACCTGGGGTCCAACGGTCGATCTCGTACGGAGGGTGCTGGTAGACATGTACATCCGAGCACCATGACTCAACCGTCTGGAGACTCCGAGAGGAGACAACGAGAGGTCGTGCGTCTCGTTTTTCTTCGCCTGCATGGAGTAGACCATGAAGCGAATGTCCTGTCCGCTGCGCAAGCGGTGCCTCAGTCAATGGCTGAGGGTCTTTAGTCCAGCCCGAGAGGCTTTGAACTTTGGCTGGTCTCGGGAGGGGGAGGGGGCGGAGTCGCGTAGCGTAGCGATCTTTCCCAAAGACGATCGATCCTTGGGCCTGTTGGGCGGATGGATCGATCCTCGAGTTGAAGGGGTTGTTTTGGAACCCCTTCATGAGCCCCATGTATCACTCGAATGCTCTTCTGGCTCCTCTTTTGTAGTGGTAAACATGATTAAACATCTAAGATCATCTAAGAATAAAAGTGAACAGCTCAAATCTCACGGAGTTGGTCGATATCCGCTCTCCAAGACGCTTTAAGAAGGCTGAGAGATGATGGATTCTTTGCTCCCAGGGTCTGAGACGGGACCTGCAGGTTTACACGGACTCCTAGATTAGTGTTACATGTAGAGGCATGGGGAAAAAAACACATGCAAATATGTTGTAAAAATAAACAACTGAAACGTGTCATCATTGTTCAATCTCAGCTGGCTTATTAATCTTTCTTCAGTCCACCTTCTCACTGGGTTCGCTTTCCATGGCAGTGCAGTCAGGAGAAAACTACAGTTAGGTTCCAATGGTTAAACACGAATTCAGCTCGGGCTCGATCTTCCCTTTCAAACATGCAACTGGTTGAAGGATGCTTATATAGAAATTCAATGAATTTCATAGAAGATTCCGATTCCATCCGATTCCTGATTCACAGAATCTCATGTGTGTAGGGCTCAGTCGATGGGTTTTTCGACCTTCCAGGGCCGAAGACCGGCTGGCTAAGCCGGCCTCATGGGCTGGAGAAGGGTCATGCCAAACTGCTCGGCCAAGGGATGCTTCATCGGGTACCCGTATCTGCGTCGCGTCGCTGGTCGGCCGGAGGTGGTCGGCGCCGAAGTGGTGCGAAGTGGTGCGGTCTTTTGGGCCGGTCAAAGCGGTGTTTGTTTTTATAATGCGGGGGCCTGGTGGTCTAGCCAGCTGTGGGGAGCAAGACACATTAGACGCGTGCTTTCATTCCTAAAATAAATAATCCTGCAAGGGAACTACCATGTGGAGGGCATTTGCTGGAAGTTGTAGGCTGAAGCCAGGCAAACACCAAGCAGGTCGGCTGCACTTCTGTGTGATTGAGTGACCGCGGAGTTAGACTCCCTTCCTGGCTGGTTCATGAGTCTATTGGTATATTTTTTTCACTGCTTTCCAAGACGGCTAAAAAGATTCCCAGCAAGAACACGTCGCCCATCTGAGGCGACAGCTGGTCCAAGCTAAGGGACAAGCCGTCGCACCAGTCGCGCACCAGAAGTGCGTTGATGTGATTTGTATATTTCAGCTCACGAGAGACGAGAGGTTCATCCTCTTTGCTCCACAAGTTTGCTTTTTTCTCTCAACAGTGAGCAGGGTCATTTCATTCAATTCCAAGCATCCCCTCAGGTCAAAGTTCCAAATCTGGTACCACTGCTTGGCACCGGTTCTTTTGAACCAGTACTAACCATGTCCAGCTTGATCACCTCGGACACGGCCTCTGCATGGAGGTGTGCAGCAAGGAGGGCACCTCGCGAATCCAACGGAACGTAAGGAGGACCATCCACCGGGACTGGAAGTCTGGTGGAAGTCTGGTGGATGATGTTGCATGTACCCCACGAGAATGACTATATATATATATATATGCAAGTCTATATGTGGATGGTCTGGGTAACAGTCAAGTGAAACAATGTTCATCAAATGAGGCGGGAGAAACTGTGGCTGGGGCGACAAAATGAGGATAATACATCTAGGGACTGCGTTGGTAAACGTCGCTGCGTGTCAAGCGAAATTGGTTCATATTTGTTATGTTGTAGTGCGCAAATTGATGCAAATTGACAAGTTCTGGTGAGTCCACGGTTGCCCCACCACACTTGGCGTGTTGGCGTCCGAGTTCAGAAGTCGAGTCCATGGGAAGTCCATGGCAATCAGATTGCGTCCGAAGAAGAAAGAGATGCGAAGAGGTTGTGGGTCCCAAATCTGAAATTCTGGGGAGGACCCGGGTCCAACGAACCGATTCCTTCTTTGGGGATGTCCAACCAGCTGGTTGCGAGGTTTGGCTTCGCCACAAAGAGCCATGAAGTGGAGCTGGAGAATGTTTGAACTACGTGGAGCTGGAGTTGAATTGTTGCACGAACCCATGAAAGGTCGCCCTCCAATAGTTGTTTTCTAGTCTAAGACTCATCAAGAATCCGTGTGAAAAAAACGCATGAAGTCATTTTGCGTGTCAACGAAACGTCTCCACCGAGCTGAGCTACCAAGTGCTTGAACTCCGACTCAGGCTTTTTGCAACGCACTGGCCGGACGGATCGAATGAGTGCAAAGAGTTCAACGCCGTAAATGCCCAACGCCCGTGATGTAACAAAGACCCCATCGAATAGCCAAAACAAGGGGTGCTATCATGTCACGTTCATCCGTTTGTATGTGGCCATGAGATGATGCAGCGGGGGATTTAAGGGTTCTGGGAGGGGCTGAGCGTACGTTTGCTTCACCTCTTAGGTACAACAAACCACCTGCACTCAGTTCCAGTTGTCGAAGAAATCACTTGCTGCATCAGTCTATTGCAACCCTCTCGTTGGGACTAATTCTTGCATTCAGGAAATCCAACCCATCAAAATGAGGGTGGATGGTCATTAGCCAGGCTAAAACCCTCATTTGAGACTAGGCTCTGAGAAGACAACACATCCTCTGGATACCCCAATGGATGATCATGTTGGGTATATCCCAACCTCCCAGGGCCAAATGGATCATGCTCAGTAAAAAATAGTAGAAGTGTGTAAAGGTATTTCCCCCCCCAAGAATTCTGATTGTTGCCCCGTTTTTTGTACGTGTACTGGCATCACGTTATAAGTGGATCGTAGATGGTCAACGAGGAAACGAGGCCAAGTTCCCTGGTTTACGATTGACACACCTGAGCGTCTAATGCATCTTCGATCTCAGAAGTTCTGTCTCAATCACTCAAGGCTTCGATCGAGCAGGAAATACCCGTTAAAACTCACGGCTCGAAACAACGCTTGGCACCCGCGTAATAGACAGACTTTTGGTATTTAAGCAAAAAATCACCGGAAGATACCGGAGGCAAATGTTAGCTCTCAGTGTTGTGATTTCTTTAGATTCAAAAAAATACGCTAGAGAACACCATCTGAGTCTATGGCCCAAGAATCAGAACTGAGCAACCCACAGGTTCTTGTCTGAGAGTCTGCTGTTTTCTTTTCCAATAAGACTAGGACTAGCACTCCGTACCCGTTCTTTGGTCGCCGTTGGAAGATGTGACTGGCGGAAGAAGGGTGGAGGTTCCCCAGCAAACATGCCGCAACCACATGAGATCCGTAGCGGATGTTCCCACTGGGCGACGCCGCAGTTCACCCTCAGCCGGTAAAGTGACGCGTCCCACCAATGACGCGCAGAAGGGATGTGCAGTTTGGAATGTGCAAATGGCTGGTTGGCCAAGAAAACACAAAGGTTCCATTACAGCACATGTGGGTTCAACTTGAGTATAGCCTATAGTGTCATGCTTTCGTTTGGATTGAGAAACATAAGAACATATACAAACAAAACAGTGCACCCAAAAATATTCAGGTCTTGATGCACTGCACATGCTACAAAATCAGAGCACACCGAAGACCGTCAGAGGTCAACATGCCACTTCCATGGCTTGTTGGGGTTCATAGTGTTGGTGCAAATCCATGATGTTTACAGTAGAGATCAATGCATGGTAACAGGAACTTCTTAGGTCGCAGTGCTGCAGCCAAAAGGTATATATAGCTGCACCTTAGCAATTGCAAAGGGAAACTGCACTAAAGTGCCTTGCTTGTTGTACATGACTACATTCAGGAGCGAACGCTTAGACTGTCCTTGTTGTGATCAAGAACTAATTACGTAGATCACGGGAGAGCCCAACACATTTCATCGTCTCCACGAGGTTTCCCAGTCAAGTAAAGTAAATTTATTGTTTCCATCATGTACCCTCATTTTGTCCGACTATGTCTTTTTGTGAGCCTGGGCCTGGATGTCTAGATTTTGTGGCAGGCGGCAGGCGGCAGGCGCAGCACTTTGTGAACCTGGAAGGGCAGGCGCAGCACTTTGTGAGCCTGGCAGTGCAGATTTCGTGGTAGGTGCAGCTTGTTGTCACGTTGTGAACTTGGAAGTGCAGATTTCGTGGCAGGCGCAGCAAATTTGCTCTCATATGTGTGCTTTAGATCTGCCTTAAGATTTTTGTGACCTCTAGATCTCTCTAGACCCCAGGCCCCTTTTGGGCTCTAGACCACTAAGAACTCTCAAAATCTAGATCTGTCCAAAGGTAACTCCTGTCAAACCTGATCTCTCCGCCGTATAGACCTCTCAAGCTCTCGATCTCTAGACCTCGAGGCCTCTAGCTTCTAGGCCTCTAGACCTAGCTCCTGATCTGGGTCAAATGTCTTGATCTGTCTTAATGATCTTAATCTTAATGTCAAGGCCTTTAGGCCTCTAGATCTCCAGACCTCTCTGGATCTCAAGACCTCTGGACCTCAAGACCCTAGGCCTCTGGATCTAAGAATCTATAGACTTCTAGATCTCTAAATCTCTCTGGAGCCCAATACGTCTAGATCTCTAGACCTTCTGCTTCTACACCTCTAGACCTAGACCTCAAGGGCAACACTGTTTGGGGCCTCTTGCCGGGGCAATTTAAATTTGTGGGAAAGCCTTCGCCCAAAGGGTCGGTTCTGCAGAATCAATTTGGTACCTATTGCGTTCCTAAAACCACAGCTGAATTTCCATGGGAAAATGCCCTCTGCGTGAGGGCTCTGGGTCTTCTGGTGTGCCATTTCACCATTCAATGAACCAATGTAGTATAGTGAGTGGGGGAGAAACACACCACTCGCGCTGGGCCACCTTGCATGCGACAAAGCCCCGCATCGGTGCTGGTCAAGGGGACTAAACCCCATTGGAAGCGGAGCTCGTATTGCCTCAGGGCACTTGGCCGAATCTGCTCTGCATAAGGTACCCGCACCTTCCAATGATCTCTATTGGGCACCATAGGTTGGCTAGCCTAACAGACCTCAAAATAGACCGAGATCATTGTATTTGTCAGGCACCCAGGAACACAAGAGGATACAAGAGGTAACCAAGTTTTGCCTTCACGGAACATCACGGGCAAGCAGATCTTGTCCTTGGATCAACGCGGTGTAGAGTGTATGCTGGTATTGACAGTCCGAAGGAAGAGCCCGAAGGAACTTGAACACACAAGGAGGGATGCAGGACTGGAGTCGGGCGTGGGTTTGTCAAGACACTCGTCGGGGCGAAGACTGGTTTTGGTCGGTATTCTCTTCGTATTGAAAGTGGACGCGGGCAATCCTTGAATTCTAACCAAGGGCCCAGGTCCAAGACTTCTCCGTCTGATTCACCTGCTGACCCCAACAGCGCTACAGCGCATCTCTCCGCCGGTTTCGACCCACGCACCAAATCTTCAGACCCACTCTGCTTCACCTGCCCTCAACTACGGAAGGTGAGCGGTGTGGTGGTGGTTATTGGATCGTATTTGGATGGACCATTCCTATAGTGAGGGTGGGCCTGGTGAGTGTGAAGCATTTGCGAACCCACTCTGAGGTCTCCACGTGCGACATGGGTTGCCCAAAAAGGAAAATCCACAAAAAAGCGATCGGTCCAAAGAATTGGCGGGTCGCCTAGTGCGGTCCGACCGTCCTTCCTGTTGAGATCGGCGCCCGCAGGTGGGCAACATCACCGTGAGGACCACCTGCACGCGATGGACCGGACGAGGAGAGCACCGTGCTGTACGTGTTTTGGGTGTGATCTCGATGGGATATGGGATCAGTCATGAAAAGAAACTATGTTTCATGAACTGTAAGGCTTAAAAAGGTATACGTATGGCACGTTAAGATCTTTGAGGGTCAGCAAAAACGTTGGGTAAGGGTATCTGGGGTTGGCACGGACCAACTAGGCCTTTTATTGCTGAGGTTTGTTGGGGAAACACCGTGAGAATCCGTGATATTTTTCAGAAGTTCTGGGCCTCCTAATGAGTAGCAGTTCTCGTGGTGATTTCTGAGTACACGACATCCAAACAAATAAATAGTAACGTCAACCTAGGTGGTGAAATCTAAACAACAAAAATCGCAACGTCATCCTAGGTGGTGAACCCCAAATCTTTTAAAGTGCTTGAATGAACTTTTTGGCCTAAGTTTTTTGAGTTAGCCATCCGACTTTCCCGCCACTAGGTGCCCGACACGCGACTGCCGCTTGTGACGTGCCTCGCAGGCTGCGAGGACATCGAGCTCAGGGTCTCTCTAACGATGCTCTGACTGCAGGGAATCACCAATACCCAAACACTCCATGTATGCCATATATATATATATCCCCAACTGATCGGCATATATGGCATACATGGAGTGTTTGGGATACCCAAACACTCCATGCGACTGGAATATATGCCGCCCCATCGACCCCCCCAACCACCGCTGGCCGTTTCTAATATGGCAGTCCCACGACCGTCGTGTCTGGGATAGAATGAACGATTCCCCAATCTCCCTGACCTCGTCTCCGAGTGAGAACCTTAAAACATCTTAAAACATCCTAAGATGCTGACCCTAAGAATGAAGCGACCCTTGATCCGCGTCAGATCGTGGGCTCTCAACGTCAGATCTTGGGCTCTCAACTCTCAAAACCAAATGTGACCATGTTCAACCTCCAGATTCCCAAAGGAATAATTCAGCCATCACTTGCATCCACTGCTCCAGTCACCAGTCACCAGTCACCACACCCATCTGCGTGACCTGCTTCCGTCCGCGCCTCAGGGCCTTCGGTCAGATCCCTGGCGGACGGCGGTTCGATGGGACGGTTCATCACCTGACACTTTTCAGTCAGCCACCAGAGGAGACCTGGAGGGTGCTGGTATATAACTATATAGGAGGTGAGATATATAATCCAAACTTGACATTTCTGCCATCGACTCTCCATCCACCCACAAAAATTTATCCGGAGTTTCTATGTTACAACACGGTTAATACCAAAACAACCAGAAACAAAGGGTTGGAACCCTGGATGCGGCGTCTTATTGAGATCCTTTACAACAGGTCAGTGGTATTCAGTGGTTGGGACTGGGGAAACGTGGTCCTTCCTGGACCAGTCACGTCTACATCACACCTTTGAGGGGTCCGTACTCCGAAGCGGATCTGGCATACCCTTCGGTCGACTCTCGGCTCAAAAAGCCCAAGTGGTCGTGATTCTATGGGCAGAATGCAAATAACAACGAAGGATCTTTGGTAGCTGTACCAGGATGCTTCACCAAGTGATTGGTTACCGCAGAGAATATGTAACCTATCACCAGTGCTTTGGTCGGATTCGCCCTTTCGTTCTGGCAGCTTCCACCTAGCACCGCCAAATCCAGTGTCCAGGCCCCCAGTCCAGTCGCAAAGGTCGCGCACTTTTTCACGCGACGAACGGCGCAGAGGCCGAAGGACGCGCGAGTCGAAGGCAGAAAAAAGTGGGGAACGCCCTGCTTCCAGCTGTGTTCTGCTTTTTGGGGTCAAGATCTTTTTGGACAAACAACATATACTGTACTCCCTATAAAAGATTCCTTCTCCAGGAAAATTCACGTGAACTTGTTTGCCTCTTTACGGTACTACTACACCCATGAATACATTCGTAGGAACTGGCCCATCCCCCAAGGACCCCCGGGGGGGGGGTGTGATAGACACCCTTGCCAGCGATGAACATCCCAAAGAATCGAGACCCAAGGTCGAAATCCAAATGTTTGCAACCACGAGGTCGTTCCAGGATAATACCAGCTGGAGGGTTCAAGAGGTCTGTTTCATATCAAACACTGACACTATGGTCTCATAATGTCTCATAGATCTAAACACTGAGGTCTCATATTAAGTTGGTTAGATGCAATGTAGTAGATAATGTGCGATCTCAAGAAACGTAGGAGGATTAAACACTCAGGGCTCATAGATTCCAAAGGTTTCCATCCATCCTCCTTTCACCACTGTATAAACCACCACCCGCTGCTGCTGCTGATGCTGATTCGGCTCCGCCACCAGCCCGACTCGAGCACATGCCCTGGAGCATGAGAGCTCATCCAACCAGGTAAGTCCACTTGTTCTGCCACCATCTGCAGGTATCCATCCATGGGCTTGAACTGGTTCCTGGTTCCTGGTCTGTGTTACATATATAGTAGGTACCTGGACTTACTGGGCAATTCAATAAATTTCAGCAAATATGTCCGCGAGTTTGCAGGGGAGAATCAACAGTTTCTGGTGTTGGCTTAGAAGAGGACATCAGGAAAAATTCCAGGAGATAGTATCCGCCTGCTTGCCTCTATCTGAGAGCTTCGGCTAAGTCAACAAAAACTGAAAGAACAGGAGCACACCATGGTCACCTCTTCTGGCAGCCAACCTCTCTGCTCTAAGGACACACTTCGTCCTTTTTTCCCTGCGCAAAAGATATGAAAAAACGTGACGGCATCTGCAGAACTCTCACAAGTGACGCATCTGCTTCACCTGCTCAGAGACAAAGTCGAAAGGGTCCTGCTCCGTGAGCATCTTCACCTCGCAACCCGTTCGGAGTGCAGCGGACGAGCGCGCGGTGCTCGGTTTTGGAAGGCGTGTGCCACATGGTGTTGGACACGTTTAGGTTCAGATCGGTGAATGTCAGGCCAGGAACCGAAAGTGGATGGTAGAAATGTCGGCAAGAACAAGCTTGATCCGTTGTCGGCAAGAGGGCATGAAGATTCAGCTCGGCAAATTCCAGCCAGGTTCTATTCAGAAGAAACACCTGAAGCAACCAAGTCCCAAAAGAACCTTCAGTAACTATGACACGACTAGGACATGACCTTCAATTCAACGAACACATAATTTGAGACATGGTTGCAGTATGCTGCAGTACTATACCTTATGGCTTCAACCACATCCTCAGAAGGTAGCTAGACCACCCCAACCACCGAAGCAAAACGGAGGTACTTGGAGCCCTATAGGGATATAACAAGCGATAGTCATAGCTTTAAAGGAGGAATTCCTCGAACCGGCGCCAGCCACGCGGCGCCTGCGTGCTGGGAGGAAAATAGGGGATGTGCTTCGGAGCCGGGCGCGCAAAACTGTACATGCGCTCCAAGTCCTGAGATTTCAGGCGGGTAAGACATCACATGTCTCGACACTCCAGGTAGGTCAAGATGTACTACATACCAAGGATACGTTGTTCTGCATGTACAAGAATATACACACTTCCGATTCCGATGCTGTTTGCAAAATATGGAGGGTATCGGTGGCTTTCATGACAGGAAGTCTTGACATGCCTTCCCTACAACCAAACAGGTGAAGACCGGGTCCCAAATAGACGATTACAATATATATATATATATGATATTTTGTTATGTCCTTAAGCAGGAGGATTCACTCACATCAACGGAACGCTACAAAAATACACATTTATTCATAATACCGGGATCATCCATAATTATAGTACACAAATTTGATTTAGTCTTCGACCAAAAAGGATCCATATTTAGCCCAGATCCACTAGCCCGATCCATAATTATAGAATTCATTCGCCAAACAAAAATGCACACAGATTCTTGCACAGACAACATGGCAGCAAATTCTTCTACTACTACTACTAGTTACTAGTACACTAGTACTACTAGTACTACTAGTACACTAGTACTACTAGTACACTAGTACTACTAGTACACTAGTACTAGTAGAAGTAGTAGTAGTAGTAGTACTACTACTACTACTACCACCACCACCACTACCAGCACTACTAGTCTTATAATTACGCGCCCACAAAAAACAAACAAACATGGCGAGGGGGAGCCCCCTTATAAATACGGATCTAACATTAATGCTGGTCGAATTGAGTTCACCACTGACTCACAGTTCTAGTTGAGGAAAAACGTTCAAATCTCCCGTAGGTCCGGGTCGTTGTGCCTGTCCTGGTTGCCACAATCCTCCTCGTCCAGGCTGAGCTGGAATCGCTCGGGCGACTTTTGCCAAATGAGATCCTCGGCATGGTGAAACGTCGCGCAATCTCGCTCCAAAGCGTTTTGGCCGGCACTATAGACGGTTGTTTCAACAAATAATTGCATGACAACGAGTGTTTGGGATTGGACGTTTCATGAAATGTCTACCATGGGATCACGGGATGCCCCGGATTGAACTGCATTGTACGAGCCCAATGTCCTGCTGCAGAAATTTTCTGTTCCAATTGCTTATCTGGAAGACCAAGGTTACCTTGGGGGTCAGTCAGGTAACTTCCTGCAGAGTATTACAAGTGGCAAAGTCCACTATTATTATAATCCTGGTTAAGGCAGTGCACAATTCACAAGCCCTCTGGCCCCCTTCGGGATTTCTGAACCCTGGCAGGCCATAACAACCCTCATATTTCAACTATAATATCTATACTACTATAGGTCGCTGATGACCGAACCAGGTGTCTTGACTCAGTTCGCCCATTTTAGTGCGTGATCTTCTTCTCATGCACGCCAACCCCTCACTGCAGCTCAAGCGCAGCCAGATCACCTGGAGGCCCAGTCTGCTGAGAAAAACTGAGTCTGCAGAATGTTCGGTGTATGTTTGGTCGAGTTTACTTGACTTCTTCACCGATACTCTCTCCGATTTATTGATTCAATCGTAGTCATCTTCTTTGGTCAAGCCCTTGTTCAACATCCTCACCTCGGGTTCTTGGCCATTGCCATAGAGGTGAATGGGGGGTCATCCCTTCAGCCAATCCGGACTCCTTTCTGACCATCGGTCAACTCCAAACTCATTGGGCAGTCTCCAGTTTCTACCCCAGGGACCCAGGGAGCCAATCCAGAGGCTTCTGGAAAGCGGTTCATCAAGCTATAAACACCTCCAGCCACTATAGCTATGTCCCTTTCAGTCCCTTTCCCGCCTTCCGCACACGTGCTGCGGGCCACAGGCACCGGCGCGAGGAAGGGCTCGCCGATCGGCGCTGCCGTTCTGGGCGGTGCTTTGGGCGGTGAAAGGTCCTGGAGGCAGATGGGACGATGAATCCAAAACAGCTATCAAAGCGTCAGGCTCCGAGGCGGGACGGATGTAGTTGAACGACGAAGCCGAGGCCGAGCCTCGTGCGATGTGCACAAAACGCACAATAAAAAGATTGAATAACACAAAATGATGTACCCTTTGCAGAACCAGAACCGCCAGAACCATCCTCCAATAGAATCATCAAACAAAACGACAAAATTAGCAATGTGAACACAATGCTATGTATCGCAATAATCCTTTACATTAGTTGACATGTGTCCTGGCAGCCTGGGCTATGTACCTAAAACAAACTTGAACATATGATATATCAAATAACAACAAATTAAAACTACTAACTATAGCCTATTTTTGGTTTACCTAATAGTTAGGATTTAGGAGATAGGTTTACTATACAGAAATTACTAACCTGAGAGGTACATAAAGTCTTAACCCAAGAAAAAAACTGTCACATGTCTAATAAAGTGTCCTCAGGATTCACACAAGGCAACTGCCACAGGCTGATAGCATACCAAACTAACATGGAACCTGAGAATAGACCGTGGAAGACCATTTTCCTCTACAATGCATTGGTTTTGGGGCTCAATGCCAATCTTAACGGGGAGTACCAAAAATCTGGAATTCAGCCCGTTTGTTGAGTACCACCTTCCTGCCACCCATTCACGGTCAGCTGATTCAGCTGTCACGGAAGGCTTCCTGAAATCCCATGAATGTTACCCCTATCGATCCACATGTCATGTGTTCTGAGAAGGTGCGTCAATTAGTGATCATTGAGATCAGTTGATCAGTGGTTTCTGCTCTTTTTCGC